CGGTGGCCGGGAGCAGCCACTGCACTCTAGTCTGGGTGACAGAGTGAAACTCCAACTCAAGAAAAAAATAAAATAAAATAAAATAAAAATAAATAAAAGATAGCGATGCCAGGCCTCAACCGTAGCCCAGTAAAGTCACTCTGGAGGGTGAGGCCTGGGCATCTGTATTAAGCATCCAAGGTGATTTTAATTGTGCAATTAGGGTGCAGAACCACTGCCTTAGAGTGATAGTTCTTTTAATGTTTTAAAAACTTTAAACCTCAGTGGAACAAGCTAGAAAGCCAGCTCACCCAACAAAGTGCCAGGAAACTTTCAGGTTTATCTGAATCTTTACTTTCCCCAGGACTTTCGGATTTGTCTGGGAATTTTGGAGGCAGGATACCCCTTTCCCCAGTCTGATATGTCCTCATCGGTTAGAGAAAGCCTAGTTTTTCTGAACCTTCCTTTACCAAAGTGTGGTATCCAGCCTTGTCTAGGGAGAGATGTATCACTTTTCAGAATACGGTGCTAAGGAAAGAATACAGTGTCTCATCCTTTTATGAACGAGGCTGAGGTGCTGACGGCCTTGGAAATCATACGGGGTAAGATGGAAACCCTTTACTAGGTCAAGTGTTAGGGTGTGATATTCAGCAGTGGACAAAATTGCTATTAAATGAGACCCTGAAGTGGATCACTCAGATCAGTTAACTGTGTTTTGTCAAATACAGATGCTTCCTTTTGGCTTTTAAAATCTGTGACTTGAGTTACTTACCCAACTAAGGGGCACGTTAACAGCTCCCTTGGGAGGGGTGTTACATCTAGTGCCATCTTGAAACTCTTCTTACTTCCTCACGGGCTGTCCGCAAAGGGAAACCGTTCCATTCTTCATTCCTCCTATGAGATGGCAAGCAGCCAGGTTAATTTTCTCTCGTTGCTCGTGTCAAATGCCCTCGGCCAATTACCAGGGAGATGGAGGTGCTGTCATCTCTTGGCTTGTCCCAGAGGACCCGCTTGCGGATGAGTAGGGAGGGCGCGCGGGTCTCTTCACCTTGCCGTGACCTTGCTTTGTCTTTGTTCACCCGAGGACCAGGAACCACCAAGACGGCCAAGTCCTCAGCCGTGCCTCCAGGCCTCCCTGTGTATTTGGACCTGTGCTATATTCCCAACCACAGCAATAGTAAGAACGTTGACGTCGAATTTTTCAAGAGAGTGAGGTCATCCTACTACGTGGTGAGTGGGAATGACCCTGCCGCCGAGGAGCCCAGCCGGGCTGTCCTGGATGCCTTGCTGGAGGGAAAGTCTCAATGGGGCAGCAACATGCAGGTAAGAGTTCGAGGACCCTGTCTGCACAGCAGACTGAGCTGTGTCCAGAGGCCGTGGGAAGGAAACTGTTTAAAGAGCCATCTTTATGACTGGGGATCGACATAAGCCACCTCATGAGTCTGTCACACACGAAATACCCCAAGGACAAAGCTGGTTTAACACACAGAAGATCATCTAGTATAGTGTTCCTGGCGCCACCAACCACTACGGCCTTTCCTTGGAGGAAGGTCAACAACTAAGACAGAACTGATCTCTCTGAAAAAGGGGCCTAAAATTCACTGCCCTTCACCCCGGTGTGCCAAGAGTATTATGTGTGTGAATCGGCATGGTCCTATTTCCATGTTAGCGCTGCAGAAGAATTGTCTTTACTCCTCTGTGTTTTATGAGTAGACCCAAGCTAGGAATATGGCTGCTTAGAAAGCTAACTGCCCATGTGAAATGTGACAGTGGGAGCATTGCTGAAAGGTTCCTTTGCAGGACACTCCCAACTCCCAAACGTCACGTCTGGCCATGAACCACCCCTTATTCGTTCGGCTGTGACCTTTGCTCGTCCAAGTTTTGTTGGTAGTTCTGCGACAGGATCACCTCGCAAATGGTGTTTGCATGATATTGAATAGAATTACTTGTTGGGTTTTTGCTTGTTTTGTTTTGTTTTTTGAGCCGGTGGTCTCACTCTGTCACCCAGGCTGGATTGCGGTGGCATGATCAGGGCTCACCACAGACTCGACCTCCTGGGCTCAGAAGATCCTCCCAAATCAGCCTCTCGAGTAGCTGAGACTACAGGCACGCACCACCATGCCCAGCTATTTTTTAAAATTTATTTTCTGTAGATACAAGGACTTACTTATTATGTTGCTCAGGCTGGTCTCAAACTCCTGGACTCAAGCGATTCTTTTGCCTCGGCCTCCCACAGTGTGAGGCCTACAGGCATGTTCGATCACTTGTTACTGAATCATACAAAATCTAATAAGAAGCACCCAGTGACCTCCTAATGAACACGAGAGGGATTCGTTACTATTCGGACCGTTACATCCCCTCCACTCCTCCAACCCGACCCCACACATGAGATAAAAGTACAAATCTTTGTTCTCGGGACAAAATGTTAGTTACTCCCAATGAGTGGGTTTCTGAGGGCTTTGAGATGCAGTAGTAATTAACACTCCTAGGATTCAATGTGCAAAATCTTCTATGCAAAACTTACCAGTTGTGTTAAAAGAAATACAAGGAATCGCACCCTAACCCCAAAACACTTCCTCTCCTAACACTAAAGAATTGAAAAACTGACGGCAAATATAGATGACCTCATTGGCAGGTCATTCGGTGCTTTTGGTTCTGGCAATCAACTTCCCTTAAAAATAAAACAGCTTATTTTATAGCTTTATTCTGGTTCCTGGAAAATATACGTTGAGAAATCCTTTCATTTTTTAGGGACAATTGAAAAGTTCCTTTCTCCTTCTTCTCCCAGGGGTCTAACGAATATCTTGCGATTCTGTTTTTTTCACGTGGTTTCTGTCTGCCCTGAAGCAGCTATTTTGTTCTCTCCCTCCAGGTGACGCTGATCCCAACTCATGACTCAGAAGTGATGAGGGAATGGTACCAGGAGACCCACGAGAAACAGCAGGACCTCAACATCATGGTGTTAGCAAGCAGCAGCACGGTGGTTATGCAAGATGAGTCCTTCCCTGCATGCAAGATTGAACTGTAAAAACCAAGACCGGCCACACCACAGGATTTAAACTTTGTTTTCAGAAATTCTTCGATTTGAAACCACCTTTTCTAAAAGTCAATTCGTCTGATTACGTCGCTGAACAATGACCTGCCAAATGCTATACTGTGTCTTGGTGATCCAAGTCACTAACATTTCTCAGTTTTTGCCGATTGCTAAGGGAAGTAACAATATTCCCACAATAGGGTTCGAGTGACCGCAAAACGACCTGACCCGGTTCATCTCTGCTGAACATTTGGAAACCATGCACTAGCAAACCCAACTGACTTCTGCTAGGTAGAGGCGTTTGTCTTAGAGAGCACGCGCATGAGAGAGTGAGAGGGAACGAGAGCACAAGGAGAGCGAAGGAGAGAGAGAGAGAGAGGAAGGATGAGAAAGAAAAAGAATGCAAGAGAAGGAGATGGAATGACGGAGAGTTCTGGTGAGACACCCAGAGAGAAAAGGAGAGAGCAGGGTGTGGTAAGGAGAAGAGAACCAACAATCGGGTCTGCATTTTCTCAGGCAGTAGGCATTCTGTAGTCTACACAGGCAACGTTTTCCGTGTTTGTCAGTCTGAGTCATCACAAAGAGTCTTAATTTTCTCAAACAAGCTGGCTGGAAGAAAACAGAAAGAACAAAACTTGTGAGGAGGGCATGGGAGATTTTCACAGCTTCCCTGAGCTCCTTCAGTTGGAAAGCTGCACGCTGACCTCACGTAGCGAGTGTAGACTGCACCTGCAAGTGGTTTGGGCCCCATTCAGAACTCTCAGACTCTAAACACACACGTAGATTGATCTAAGGCATGCTCCCAGCATTTGTCCACCCACTTAGTCCACTCTGAGTCGATTAACCTGCATGCGGCCACTCCCAAGTCCACCCCGATTAACTGAAGCAAATACCAAAGCAGTTGGGAGTACATATGGTAGACAATTTGCCTTAGGAAGTGACTTGAATGTACAAAGATACTCGATGCACTTATTTTTTAATGTGAGACAGCAAGTTTAGAGAACATCCGTATAGGATTATAGCTACTTAAAGGAGCACGTGGGCGAGTGTGTGTGGGGGTACTTGCAGCTGATCTGATCGGTCCAACAGTTTGACGCTGAGTCATGAGTGTTGAATCCCACTTCGGTGCACCTGTGGCCTCTCTGCCAAACAAGTTGTGCCCTTCTCAGCTTCTTTCCTACTGCAAGTTCAAGACCGAAATGGCTTCTATGATCAGAACTGGGAAAACAGTGAATCTTATGGTGGAAGAGGTTCTCAGCAGGTGTACAGTATTTACCTTCCTTTGTCTTACATTGGCTTTTTCAATTTTCCATTCATTTCCACGTAATTATGGGAACAAGTGTACAGAAGAATTTTTTTTTTTAGCTCTGTGAGAACTTTTCATAGATGAACTTTTTAACAGATGTTTTCATTTACAGGAAATTGCAAAGAAAACTTTCAAGTGATAGTCTTTTTTCTTTTTTTGAAGTGTTTCGTAAGACAAAATTTGAATAGTGTTTTTTGAAGTTCTGGCAAGATCGAAGTCTGATATTGCAGTAATAATATTTATTGAAAACCCATAACTACCAGGAATCATGAGACCTCCCACCCCTTGATTCCCATAACATAAAAACCTGAGTCTGTGCTATTGGAGAGTGGGCAAGAATGGCATGGAGGCTACTTTTCAGGGCCTTGGCAAGTACATCACCCAGTGGTATCCCACAAACTTCTTTCAAGATCTTCAACTGTGAGGTGTAAGAGCCAAGTTCAAAGACCCCTAGCACAAGTTTGCTGTGGGATTTTCTTTTTCAGAAAAAGAAAAGAAACAATACATTGAAAACAAATGAATTCTCAACTCCTGTGGTTCATCATGTAGAGTTTAGAGAAAATTCCCATCATTGTCGTCACTGAACTACGAACCTGGGAAGCCAGATCGTGATTAGAGCTGATGTCGAGTTTCAAGTTGCAGACCAGTGCACCCAGTGTTCAGATATGGCAAACTTCTCGGTGACAACCGTGCTGAGCTCTGTCACGTTACATTTCCTGCAGACTCTCAGATCTATGGAGCAGAGAACAATGACCTCATTTTATTTTCTATGTTATTTATTTCAAAATTAACATTTTAGTTTATTTTTGTCTGATAAGTGTATGTTTTGCACTGCTAACTACTATGAGGGTTTAAAAAATGCTTCTTTAGGGTCCCTTCATGGAGGACCTAAGCAGTCTACTTAATGCTGTGAATTACATTTTTCAGATGTTTAATTTTTTTTTAAAGGAAATTAATATACTATTTTTGTTAGGCTTCTCTAGAAATTCAGCTTTTATTTATTACCCCCGTTTCTTTCAAGTCCTTCAAAATAACACTTAAAGGGTATAAAAATTAACACGTGATGGAAAAGTCAATGTGACGAAAATGGATTTCACCGAATATAAACTTGTCTACTTCAAATTTATTTTATGAGACAACCCAAGATCCTCAAGATAATTATTTCACGGTTAGCTGTTAAGTGGAGTTGGTCCACATAATGCATGGGAAAAAAATTCTAGCCTTCTTGCCAAATCCAGACCTCTGGTTGGTTTTTCTTTGTTAGAAGATGGAGTTACTTTCCAATTTCTCAAATTAAATTTATTTAACATGTACATTATTTTGCTTTAAAAAAAATACAAACATTTTAGGAGAATTATAGCCAGTCTTCAGTTATAACCACTCTACCCCACTCCCTTTTTTTTCTTTCCCTCTCTCTCTCTTTTTTTTCTGCTATGGGATTTAATGGGAAAAATATATAAAAACTGTCACTGGTCAGCTGGCTCTTTTTCCTATGAAATGTCAGCACCTTTCTCCATCCATTGTTCTCGATGATAACCACAGAGCCTGAGTATACCAGGAAAACCAATATTTGCATTACAGGTTGCTCCTGTCCTTCCAGACACCTTTCTACCTGTGTGACTAACCTAATTTTGCTAGTTCCATAAATACACAATTAGTTTAGTAACAGCCATTGCAATGTACCATGTACATTCATGGTGAGAGCTACAGGTCGACACAGACTTCTAGGAGCTTTGTTCAATACTGATTACTTAATCCAATTGTATAGATTGAATATTTGAGTGGAAGGAATTTACACTCCATTTAGGTGATGGGATTCTACTGAGATACCACTCACGATCATGACCTTTTTGGTAGTATTCTTAAACAAAATTCTGCAGAGACTAAATGTTAGAGATGATCCTCCATTTTCAATTTTAACCAATTCTGTCCCCTTTCTCAAAACCCCAATCCCTGTGCATGCTTTCTCAGTCTTGTGGTGAGACTGGATACAATGACTGACTTCCCTCCCCACCCCCACCCTGCCCTTAAGCACCATTTTCCATGGAGTTCAAAAAAAGTTTTTTTCCCTAACGTTACATATCATAGTGAATGGTTTCCCCAGTGCATATGAATGTTTTAAGTGTCTCCAATAGCTTACGCAGTCTAGGAGCTTTCCAATACTCATTTAATAAGATTTAATCATTTGCTAATGGAAACTTTGCCACCTTCCATTTTCCCTCTATTACCAAATTCCAGCTCTCAGGAGCTGGTCTACAATTCTGAAATTGCTTTTCTTGCTTCTCTTTAGTCACCTGTCACAGGAGGTTCCTGCTCAGTAATGATATGGCGAGTTAGGATAATAACCTTTTTTTTGGCGCTTCAGATTTAGGAGAAAAGATCCTGTTTCCATTTGAAAGGAACTGCAAGCTTTTATCTTTTAACCAGCTGAACAACGCACCAACAGCAGCCTAGGGGTGAGCAATGCTATGAAAGCAATTAGGTTATTCACCTGGTATTAAAACTGCTATTTAAAGAAATCTGTGACTTCATGAAGTGAATTGAAAAGGCAGCATCAAAAACTGAAAAGGAAGGGGAAAATAAATAAATAGCTTCTCTGCACTTGTTTGGAGCTCCCCGAAGCAGGAGCCACAGAGAAGAGGCGCCAAGGCCAGGCTGCCTTTCGAGAACACCCGCGGAGTTGAGAGCCAGCTCCCGGCACTGCATGCAGCCCGGGAAAGAGGGTCTTGGGCCCGGCTGGCCGAGAAGCACTTCACACTCCTCTCTCTTGTTCTGAATGGTGTTTGTGTCAGTCTGCAGCTGTGTATGGTATTATGTCTTATAATCCTGCATCACTTCTATCCTATCCAGTCATATCTAATGTAGAAAATTAGTTTCCAGTGAAAGTAATATGTAGTGCTTTTATGATATTTGTGTGCAATATCCCCTCTTCCATTGAGGATATTTGATGTAAAGGAAAAAAAAAAAAACTCGGTTCCACAATAAAATACAAAAGTGGCAAAAGTTCCTGTGCTGTGCTGTCCTTGGCTTTGTGTTTCCGAGCTGGGCTCACGGGGGATTGGGCTCTGCCTCTCACGTGGCCAGCAGAGCCGGCCACAGCCAGTGGCTGGGCATCACCATGGGGGGGGGGGAACTGTGTTCTTTGGAGGGTGGGCTCCTGGCTTTTGGCAAACAGCTGAGACGACCCTGCCACTAATTTTTGCAACTGCTGCTTCGTTACTTTTTACAGCCAAGCCCTGGAGGACGCGAGAGTCTAGGGACATAAATCGGGAGGTGAGGGGAAGGGATGATGAGAATTATTGCTTACAAAGGAAAAGGAAATAGACCAGTGAAGTTGAAGAAGCATATTGGGAGGGTTTCTTGCACAAACCACAAACCAAAAAACCGAGTTTTAGTCCCAGTTCCGCCACACACAGCTGGGTAACCTCTGTCACTTAGCCTGTATGGAGTTCCCTTTCTCACCCGTAAAATAAGAGGGTTTGACAAGATGGTCAGATTTGATGGTCCCTTCCTAGGCTGCATTCTGGCGCTCTGCGAAGCCGTCATACTTGGCGATTGTGCTCAGTACCTCAGCTTCCTCTTGGTTTCTTGCTAATTGTTAGAGAATATCCTCTATCTAACTGACATAATATACATGGATTTTTTTAAAATTATTTTTTAGGCTAGGCATGGTGGCTCACACCTATAATCCCAGTACTATGGGAGGTCGAGGCAGGAGGATTGCTTGAGTCCAGGCGTTCGAGACCAGCCTGAGCAACATAGTGAGATTTAATCTTTACCAAAAAAAAAAAAAATCAAAAGGTTAGCCAAGTGTGGTGGTTCTACCCGGCAGACTAAAGTGGCAAGTCACTTGAACCCAGGAGGTTTTGCCTCCAGTGAGCTGAGATCATGCCACTGCAACTCCAGCCTGGATGACCTTGACTCAATACAAACATAAATTTTCTTTTTAGAGGTCTTGCTCTGTTATCCAGGCTGGAGTACAGTAGTGGAGTCATAGCTCACTGTAGACTTGTGCTCAATGAATTCTCCTGCCTCAGCCTCCCGTGTAATATGCCGTGGATTTGACTCACACCCAGGAACTAAAAGTTTTTCAGGCGAAGTGATTATATATAACAAAAAATACCTAAAAGGGGAGAACTTCCTCTCTGTCATTCAAATGATTGTGCCTTCACTACCCAGCAGAGGGTCATATTGTGGGATTTAAAGGTGAACCAAAACATAATTGCTGCCCTAACTCACTGGGGAAGACAGGCTAGCAAAGAGGCAATGACACCACATTGTGACGGGCCCCCACAATTAAAGAGCGAACTTAGATGATCACAAGAAAAGCGCCACAAGTGATGTCTAAGCTGAGTTCTGGAGTGTGTGTCTGTGTGTGTGTGTGTTGAACAGAAAGCAAATTCCAGGCAGAGGCAACAGCTCACACAAAGACTCAGCAGAGAGCAGAACCAGCAAATGTTGGGGAGCACAAACTGCTCAGAATCCCAGCATGTAGAGGGGGGAAGTCCTGGCCCCTCAATTCCCCCATGTGATCACAGAAAATGTGCCCATAGGGTGCTCAGAAGAGACATCTGGTACTTGTCCCTGTCTGTCTGTAGAGGCAGTCCTTTGGCCTCAAAAGGCCACTGCAGCCTGTCTGGAGTCACTATGATGTCGCCTTGTGTGTCACACTTCTTTTGATCTAACGTCATACCTCCAAACCGTGGGGCTACGCGCATTTTTTAAAAATCTGTTTGCTAAGAAGGAGTCTGAAATCCTTCCAGAAATTAAAGGGTTAAGCATGTGAGCACTCAGAGTGGAAAATCATTACTCATAGTCCTTAATTTCCTCTATCAGACTCAAACAAGTTAAATAAGTTGTCTTCTGTTCCACTGCCAAATTGTTCAGCTCCCAGAAGTCTTCCTTTTGGCCTGAAGCTAAGGTGGTCAGCTATCCTGCTTGCCTGGGACTGCCCTGAGTTAGCCCTGAAAGTCCTGTGTCCCTGGAAACCCCTCAGTACTGGGGAACCACTGAGGACCTGTCACCCTACCAGGACCCTACTCTGTCGTTCACATCCTAATTGCTCGCAATCTAGGCGCAGATGATGGGGAAGAGTCGGAGGCATCTTTTCCCCCGTGTTTTTTTTTTTCTTTTCTTTTTTTGGTCTTCCAAGCAAACCAACAAGGGTCTGTTGAAGTTCTGACCATATTTCCTCCCTATTCCTAGTTGTATTGCTCATTCTGGGTGAGTTTTTGTATCCCTATCATGCACTTTTAATATACTCCTGACTCACGAATTCTTGGTCTCTTGCATAATCCCAGATCACCATTTCCTCCCTGATCTTGTATTGTGTGTCTTGGAAATTGACCAGAGCCATATATGCATATGTGCCATTTTGGTCACACCCAGTTCCTTTTAAGATGAGTTCTTCTGGATAATTCTCTGGGGGTCACTGGCAGTGTTTTCACAGATGATGAAGCAGCGCTTCTGAGACTTGATTCACCGGGAGATCTCTCCAACACCAGTAGACACAGCTCTATTTCAGGGCTCAGACTGTTCCCCACTACAACCAGAAGTGCATGCTACTTCAGTGCAGTACCAGAGACTCTGTGTGTAAACTGATAACTTCTATAGTTGTATCTGCAGTCCGTGTTTCTTCTCTGATCTCCGAACTCATATATCCAAACTCATATATTAAAATCTCCATTTGAATGTCCAATAGGGGTCATTAAAACACCCCAAATCGCCAGGCTCGGTGGCTCAGCCTGTCATCCCGCACCTTTGGGAGGCTGAGGTGAGTGGATTGCCTGAGCCCGCGGGTTCGAG